CAGTTTCTGAAATACTCAGACCAGCCCTTTTGGCACCAACAACCATGCCACGTTCAAAGCCACTCAAATCACCTTTCTTCCCCATACTGATGCTCGGTTTGAACTGCAGGAGATTGTCTTGACCATGTCGACATGCCTAAATGCACTGAGTTGCCGCTATGTGATTGGCTGATTAGAAATTAAGTGTTGACGAGCAGTTGGACCTGGTGTACCTAATAAAGTGGTCAGTGAGGGTGTGTGTGTGTGTGTGTGTGTGTGTGTATATATATATATATATATATATAGTGTGTGTGTGTGTGTGTGTGTGAGGATAATACAAACACACTACCAAATGCTGGCATTCACAGCTTACCCAAGGATAGCGCCGGGCTGTTGGAACTGGCTGCCTGCCACTGTTGCCATGAACAGCATCTTCCAATTCCAGCTTGTCGAGTGGTTGTCATGGTAATGACCATTTATTTGCAGGGGGCACCCTTGACTCCACCATTTCTGGGACACACACGGACAGCAAGAGGAAGTGAAAGGGAGAGAGAGGACATAAGTTCGCAGATCGCCTGTTTGCTCAAAGGGCAGGTTACAGATTTTTTTTTTTTTTTATGATTAGCCGACAGTTTTTTTTATGATGCAGTGTTCAACTGTTCAACATATATTTAGCCTTCTTTATTCCCTCTGATCTCAAAACATTTAAAAAAAATAGATTACAAACTTTTTATTAACGTAACATGAAATCAATTTCCTACATTGGTTATACTGATGATGAACAAAACCAAAACCCACACTTGTCATGACACTGTGATTGGCAAGTGACCAGTCCAGTGTGTGCCAGCTACTTTAACCTCTTACACAAAGTCGACTGGGACAGACTCCAGCTCACCCACAACCCAGAACAGAATAAGTGATTGTAAATGAATAAATGAACACCCTTGAAATGTGCTTGGACCCTTTTGAAGAAACCATCTATCCAGACATTTTCTTTACCACTTGTCTTCATTAGGATGGCAGGTAATAGATACAGGTATCAATCCTAGCTGACAGGCAAGAGGCGGAGTTCGACCTGGACTGGTCGCAGTCAATCACATGGCACATACTGTTTTGACAAACAACCATTAAGACTCATATTCACACTTGAGCAATTCAGGGTCTTTAACCAAACTGCATCCTTTTGGAATGTGGGAGGAAGCCAGAATAACATCAGCAATGATAATAAATCACATTTGTGTAGCACCTATTCTTATCTCATAAAGAAATGACATTCAAGATCATTTGGCTCAGCAGAATGTGTGTGTGTGTGTGTGTGTGTATATATATATATATATATATATATATATATATATAGCAGGTTTCACAATAAGAGCATAACTCCAATGTTTGGCGTTACACACACTGCACTCATACTGCCAAGGAATTTGTAACCATTTTTATTCACACACAAAGTAACATCCACATTACTGTGGAGTTCATTAAAAGAACACGGATACAGTATTCTATAGACGTACGAAATATAAATAAAATAAACAAAATACATATATACCTAGCCTTCAGGGCTGTAAATTAAGTTTCACAACCACAGTAACCCTTTCACTGGTTGGTGTCATCACCTCATTTCCTGGCCACCATCCTCATCCCCCCCGGCCATTGACACGCTACTCTCAAGTTAGCCTTCTAGATTTGAGCCTTCAGCTGATATTCTCCATTGTGATGCAGCGAAGGAAGAAACTGTGTAAATGTCTCATGTCAACATCCCCGATACTGATCCCCTGTGAATTCCTCACTCGCAGCATCCATTGGATGGAGGAGTGACCTCTGAACCCCAACACACTCTCCAGCTCCAAGCAGAAAAACAAATCCTCAATCGGATTGAGGAAAGTAGATTTCGGTGGTTCATAACGAATTATAGCAAAAGTACGACAGTAATAAAATAATTTCAAACCTCTGATGCTTAACCCTTTCATACACCCTGTAACCTGATAACATGATAAGCTGTCCATTGTCCACTGTAGTGACCGCTGTCCTTGAAAGCGTTCATGAGGGGATACGTGCTGGATTTGGAGTGCTTTAGAAATATCAATACCATTTGAGGTTTGAGGTGACAAAAATAGAGTAGCCTATGTTCCTCGGGCATGGATCCACCTGTGTCTGGTCCCTCCCTCGCTTCCCTCCCCGCCAACCTTCCAGATCACTGCAGCGCATCTGTTACCGTGCGCTCACTCAGATCCTCATCGGTCGGCAGTTTGGTGCTTCTCATCGAATTTCGACGCCGAGACAGTCGGGTTTCGTGCCGGCAGATCGAAGTTTAAAGCGCCTCCACCCGCTTCTTCCTCCTCATCCGTTCTCGCTACGCTAGGTGTGCCCAGAACGGACCTGCTCTGCTCGCGGCGTTTCCATAGCAGCGCTTTCCGTGGAAGTTTGTCCGGGTGCCTCCGGAATCTGGGATCAGAAACAGTTCGTCATGTTCAAAAAACAGAGAAAAACTGGACGAAAACACAAGTGATTAAAACAGGTCGAGTGGATCGAAGACAGCGGCCAAGGTAAGAGTAAATAACTTGGTGCTTGAACTTGGGGTTTTGACAATAAAATTCGCTCGCTTTCTTTTTCCATCGACCTTGGATTAACACATTGTATTATGTTTGGGTGTGGTTTTATTAACATTGAAGTGGTTCACTGATTCTTGTCTTAAGTGGAGTTTGACAAGTTGCGTGCCGAAGATGTCAAGTCATTTCATTTATGAACTCATCGTGGATTTGAGAAACGGCATGCTTGCTGACGACGATGCACTTTAGAACAAACTCCCTAAAGTTATGACAGCTTGTTTTCTGTCTCTTCTTGCTCGAATCTTTGAAGCTCCTGGCTGACAACAAAATATCAGCATAATTTACAGTCGATAAAACGTGCAGTCCAAATACGAATTTGTGGCCGTGCAATCGTAGCTAAAACGTGTGCACGAAATACGAATATGCGACCACGAAGGTACAATGTCTTATTAATTTATGGGTTTAATACCATTCCCATGAACAACAACTTAGCCAACCAGGTGAGCAAATACAGCAAGCAACACCACGAAAAACATGCAGATGGTCCCGACGGTCATACCTCTGCTTGTAAAGCATCCTGGCTCCCAGTAGTGTATTTCAGTCCCTCTTGATAGTAATTATTCCTAGAAATGCCAGATTTTCCAAACATTTTTTAGCCCGCCCCCAGCCTAAAATAAAATTCTGTCACGCTATTCCTGTCGAGGGGTGTAGCTATTATTTCAGAAATGGGGTGGATGTAAATTTCTAAACCAACTCATGGTCATACACTCACATTTACTGGAAGTGTAACTGCTCCTGGCCGAAGAACTCAATTCCCAAACTGTCAAACTCAGGTTGAGGTAAAAGGCAAAACCAGTACACCAAAAGAAGCAGAAATTTTGTTTTGCAAAGCAAGATATTTGTTAGCATTTCAGAAAATTTATCAAGATTTGTTTCCTTTTTTCTGATATGTTTTAAATCAAACAGTCCCCAGTTATTCCCAAAATTTAAAAGAGTGTCCTAATTTGAAACAAACAAACAAACAAACAAACAAAAAAAGAAATATCTAGTTTCAAAATCATAATAAGCTTTTGTGAACATGGGTTGACAAAATTTTAATCAGTCCAATTCACTCGTTCTGACTGAAGTCAATTAAAGTAAACACATGCTTTCATGCATCAACATCAATAATAATTATCATTGAAATACAGTCTGAATGAGAAAGTAAAGATTGGAAACCAAACAAAGAATTGAGTTTGCTTCTAGCATTACATTTTTTAAGCAGGCTTGCGTACTGTAACAAAAAAAAGGGAGTCATACACATTACAATTTTTAACTACCCGTATAGTCTGTGGCATTTGCTCATAACTCTGTGGGATGATAATAATGACACTCATTTCTGACTCGATCCACAGTATTCCTTAATGATTCCTCTTAATCTATCATAAACTGTCACAATTATCCATTTGTAAGTTTTTTTTATAACTCAATGGTTTAAAAAAAAATCTATCTTTTTTTTTCTTTTGCCTCTTTCAATCTAAACATTCAAAGGATTTTGCTTCAGCCGGCATCTGTGTGGCCACAGATCAGAGGACATCCCCAAAATCTTGAAAATAGAGATCTAAAGTAAAGAGAGATCGAAAACAGGCAGGGTATGGCTCTTGAAGAAGCCGAGTTCCCAACCCCTGTTCCAGACTAATAACTAGAAAATAGAAACAATATCTAATTGCCTGACTGACTTACTTTAGTGCATTTAGTAAAGCAGATTAAAGTAGAAGTTATTTCAAGGCAGCCCTTGCATCCGTCCATATTTCTGTCGGTGGCCTTCAAATGAAAACGTTTGCCATAAGCCATCGTGCAACTCCCCTATTGGGAGCTTTATTCCACATCTATTCGGTTTTGGTTTCTTTAACCAAATCAACATCTCCCTTGAATACATGCACTACAGTTCATAGATGCTGTTCACACGTAAAATTGTGTATGAACTTTTATTTTTCTCAACTCATTTGCTGCAACAGCACTGACTGAGCCATGTAGGCAGCCTTTCATATGAATTGAAGTGTGAAGTCTTCACCGCCACTCGGATGTTATAAATTAGTTCCTGGCATAGTATTAAGATAATCTACGATGAGTAGAGAGGGTGTGTTTTCTGCTGTTTAGCGTACTTACACATTGACATCACAGTGCAAAGGTGCAGGGTTCGATTCCGGCTCTGGCCTTCCTGTGTATTAATTTGCTTGTTCTCCGGGTATTCCGGTTTCCTCCCACATTCCAAAAACATGCATGGTAGGTTTATGGAACACTCTAAATTGTCCGTCGGTGTGAGTGTGAGTGCAAATGGTTGTTTGTCTATGTGTTCCCTGCGATTGGCTGGCGACCAGTTCAGGGGGTCCCCTGCCTTCTGACCGAAGACAGCTGAAAGAGGCTCCAGCACGCCCACTTCCCTTGTTGTGAGTATAAGTGTATTTGAAAATGGATGGATGGCTTTAGACCAGTGGCACTCAAATGATGGTAGACAAACCTTTGGCTGTACGTGAAGGCACTTCAGGGCGTAAGTAGGATTGTTGAATATATTTAAAGTGCAAAAAAAAAAAAACATCTTGAACATCATAACCAACATTGAGAAAAAGGTTTTGATGGTGAAAGAATTTATATGCAAAGTATAACTCCAGAATTTACAATTTTCAAATTTGACCAAACTGTATGAACCTTGAACAATATACAGTACAAGCATGTCCATGTGTGTATTTGTGCATGTGTGTGCGTGTGTGTGTGCGCGCGCGTGTGTGTGGCATGTCTTCCCCCCGATTATAGCTCATGACAATTTTTACATTGGAAAAAAATATATTTATTTTGAGTTGAGTTTGAGAACCAACTAAAAGTGTGTTCACACATTCACAATATGTCGGAGAGAAACAGCTCTGCCCGCCTGTGAATTATAGAAAAATAAACACCACAAAATAATACTTTTTGATTGCTCCACTGTGTTTTTTTTTTTTTTAAATCTCTTCTTTGCTCTCCCAATGGATGCATGATCTGGACATCATAGAAATATATGCAGTCATAATCAGTGGAGGAACAGCATTTAAATATATTGGCATTAACAGCAGTGTTAAGTTTTGAGTAATGAGGTAATCGAATGAAACACTTTTCTTGTCATTGCTGCACTGGCAACATTACTGACAATGTAATGTGCCACATTACTTCAGCATTTCAGCAATGTTTTCTTGATGTACGTTTCCAGTCAACGGCTGCCTCGACTCTAACCGTCAGCCATCTGTAATTCTCAGTTCTATAGTACAGTATGTCTTAGGCCCCACCTTCTTTCTTCTTTTCTTGTTTTTTTTCACATTGGCTGATCACTCATCAACAGCGGTGCTGCCATCTAAAGGTGGATAAATAATTGCCTCCACCTTTGAAGACTTCAGAAAAGATGGCCCAGACGTTGGCCAGACACATCAACTCATCTATTAACGGATCACTGGCCCACCCATCCTGTTAAAAAAAAAAGAAAAACGGTTTGACAAACACATTCGTCAAAGGTAGCGGGCATGATGATTTTGTGTGACGAATATATTCGTCAATGGCAGTGAAAGAATTAAGGAACAGCAGGTGGCCCTCCTTCTCATTTTCGATTTCAAGTGATTTGAAGAATTCCAAGAGGAATGATTGGAGCGCATCTTACTTGCTGATCACTGGTGGAGGCTCCAGCCGCGCCATCGCTCTGGTGGTTGATGCTGCTTCCAGTGCTGTATTTGGTAACACCGTGCGTTATTCTTCTTAGTGGAAATTGCGTCTCAATGTGCTAAAGGCATTGCCTTGGGTTGTGCTGCCAAAAGTCAGGCAACTTGACTTGTTTTGTTCACCTTCTCTTCCTGCTGCTTTCATTTAATATGATTAATTGATGCAAAGCAGTGCATTTCCTTTGGATACATGTATCACTGCAGACTCAGGCAGTTGTTTTACATTCTGTGCCAGTTAAGTTTCAATCACACTGTGCATGTCATGTGTGTGTTTGTGCATGTGTGTGTGTGTCAGAAAAGCCGAGTGTGTGTACATGTGGTTGGAAAGATGTTCCCTCCAAATGGATACTTCTGCATGCTATAGTTTTGCCAGTGGCTTCTCCAATCCAAACTGGACACCAAGCTTAAAGAACCATGAAATCCCAGTATGTTTATGTTTACATCTTTAGATGAAATGCACTTCATGATCGGAATAAATATCAAGTTATTGTCGACACGGTAATTAACATGACCCACATTACTATAGCTGATGCCCCGCTGAAATATCTATTCCATATGAAGCTTATGATGCTACTTTTGCTTGTACTTTACATATTTATCTTGTCAGTATATATATGATTTGGTTTTTATTTCTTTGCATCCATCCATTATCCAACAAGAGAAAATTGTTTAATTGGAATTACATAACTCTTGGTCAGTGGTAGACAAACTTTTTTCATCAAATATCACCTCTAAAATCCATCCATCCATCCAGTTTCTGATCCGCGTATCCTCACAAGGGTTTCGGGGCTTGCGTGAGCCTATCCCAGCCGTCTTTGGGCAGTAGGCGGGGGACACCCTGAACTGTTTGCCAGCCAATCGCAGGGCACACATCGACAAACAACCATCCGCGCTCACACTCACACCTAGGGACAATTTGGAGTGTTCAATCAGCCTGCCATGCATGTTTTTGGAATGTGGGAGAAAACCTGAGTACCCGCAGAAAACCCACGCTGGCATGGGGATAATATGCAAACTCCACACAAGAAGGCTGGAGCTGGAATCGAACCCTGCACCTCTGCATTGTGAGGCTGACACGCTAACCACCGCTGCCCTAAATGTTTTATATTAAATGTTGTTCTTTTTACATTTACATTTTCCAAAATTTCTCCACAGAATTGTGAAAGACTCATCTCCAATTAGCGTAAACCCTTAATTTCAGTTTCTGCTGCCAAGCTTGGCACAACACATTGTTAGATTCGGACCTATTATTACTTATTCACATAGGGACAGGTA